AGGCTGCGTATTGCTATCCATCGTGTCGGATGATTGTGTCGGGGAGACCGTTGGCATATGAAGTCGTCCGGGTTCCTCACGCGCTGATTCTTTAGCGTTTACCGGGATTCGCGGGTTAAGTGCGAAGAAGTTTGCATCATGCTTTGCTTGGTAAGTCTTCTGGAGACGGTCCGCGGTAGATTGGAGGATGTCTGCATTAGTGGAGTTGACAAGTGGGCTCAGTAGTGCATCCATGCTGCGGGCAAGAAATTTTGGCGCTCGTTCATGTGTGCAGCGGGCTTCCCGCTTGGTGCGGAGATAGTGAATTAAAGCTGCTTTCGTAGCGTCGGGATGTTGTTGGGAGCGGGGGTCGATGTTTTCATGAAGCTGCCATTTCTACGCAAGTGCTGCATGTCGGTTCACCTGGGCGACAGAGTCGCTAGGAACACAAAGGCGGATGAAACTGGTGGAGCTTCCGCGGCGATTTGGTTGAGATACCGATTTAGACGGAAGATACCAGAGAAAGTGGTGGCGATTGAGGGCTGGTTGGGCATGCCAGTATTTTTCAAATACCAATTGGGATGGGGGCTTGCCGTTAGGGAAAATTGCTCGGAAGAAGAGCCATACCGGAGTTATGTCATCCATTTCATGAAGAGTTTTGTCCGGCATCGGGCGGCCCATCACTTTTGTCAAAAACCTGGTGGAGTCGGGCGTTTTTTAGGGCTCGGTTTTTCAGGTTTGACCACTTTTGAGCGGTAGCTGGGAGGCTCACTGCTGTTATTGGGCGCCTGTGACCGCGGTATTTTTGCAGGCGGAACAGGCGGGCTTGTGGAGCCAAATCGGAAAGTGTCGGGTGTGTCTTTATCTGTAGGTGCACGGGTTTGGGATTTAAGGTCCCGGAGTTCGGATTCAAGTTTGGTTGTTTTTGCACAGAGGTTAGTGTATGGTTGATTTCCATGGGTCATCAGTCAAAGGATCCTTGGAGATGGGCCCATCATTGTTCGGGATTAGTACCGCTTTTATTAGACCGAATCTTACAATTAAAAGGCCTCAGTAAAATACCAAACATAAGAGTTGGTATAGTTCTATTAACATAAATATATATATTTTCCAACTTTATTTATATCTGAATACTTCGGTAGCGAGATGGCTCAACCGAATATAGGTTTCTAGGGACTATTAACGTTATCTAGTTGATCCTCCGATAAGCCAACCAGATGTACCAGTCTGATGAAGGCTAAGTCGGTAATTCTTGATAGTGGCAAGTTGTTAGTTAAGACAATAACTAAGGACATCAAGAGTATTTTTTAAATATTTTAAATATTTTTTCTAAAGATAGGATTTTATGAGTCTCTCGGATTCTCCCCAATTAAACATACCATAGTTTCTAATAGAGCGACAACGAAACACTAAATAAAATCCCCTCGGCGGAAACAGATTATATATAGGCAATGTCTCAGCCTCCCAATCTCTTAGAGTATTGCTGTTTTCACGAGGCGTATCTAACTTTACTAAATGTCTCATTTCGTTTACTTCCATTGATATTTGCACGATACTTAGAACTTTCATACGCGTTTATTTATTATAAGACGTTAATATCTACTTGAAAAACCGAATCGTACAAGAAGGCACCACAGTAATGGATCCCGTTCTGGGAGCACTTTCTTTGCTTCAGCTTTCGCCGCAACATGCCGAGCACCATAGTAGTAAATATCACAAAGATGCTCAATAACCTTTTCAGGCTTGGATCACCACCCTCCTATTGCCTTCTCTAAATTCACCTGGGTTCCACTCACTTCAAATGGGTCCTTAAACGCTGGATACAATGGTGTAGCCACGATGCACATGTACGATTCGGTCCAATAAAGCCGATACTAATGCCTTAGAATAAATAAACGCGTAGGTAAATTCTATATATCGTGTAAATATCGATATAAAAAAAACGAAATGAGACGTTTAATAGGATTGCCTCGTGGAAACAGCAATACTCTGAGGGATTGTGAGGCTGAGACATTGCCTAAGTATAATCCTCTCAGAACTGTTTCCGCCGAAGGGATTTTATTTAGTGTTTCGTTGTCGCTCTATTCTGGGGCGAATCCGAGAGACTCATAAAATCCTATCTTTAGAAAAAAGAAATAAAAAAGAAAAATACTCTTGACATCCTTAGCTATTGTCTTAACCAATAACTTGCCACTATCAAGGATTACCGTCTTAGCCTTCATGAGACTGGCACATCTGGTTGGCTTATCGGAGGATCAACTAGGTAACGTTAATAGTCCCTAGAAACCTATATTCGGTTAAGCCATCTCGCTACCGGAGTGTTCAGATATAAATAAAATTGGAAAGTAAATAAATCTCTATTAATAGAACTAGACCAACTCTTTTATGTTTGGTATTTTACTGAGGCATTTTAATGGCCTCATTCAAACATCTGATATGTTAAATGGAAAAGGTTCAATTAATATAACCATTAAAACCCATTTTAGGAAACTTAAGTTCCTCGTACTATTAAGAGTACATTTAGAAAACTTAAGTTCCTTGTACTATTAAGAGTACGTTTATAATTTGCGTACTGTTTAATAGTACGTTTATACATAGAGTCTAATGTGGAGGCCCGGCTTATTACACACTGATCCTTCGTCTCAATAACAGTCTTGCTGATATAGCCCTCTAGTTCTGACTTCGTCTCCGGTGTAACCTCCTTGAAAAGAGCCATCGCTGGGCAGGACCCTCCTTTCTTCGCCTCGAGCTCATAAGCTTTGGTACCCCTGACGTAGTCCCATCGATACATAAGTTTCGTCATCGGCTCCCCTCTCACATATCTCCAGAGAGGTTGCCCAGTCCCAGCTGCATTATCCTTCTCGTAAACCATTTTCCACTAATGTTTGTTAGTAATCTTAGATCGACTCAAAACACAATGTAACGGTGAACTTAGTTTTATTTCCTCGATTGTTGAATAAACGTCTATCTTAACAGAATGAACTTCTTGAATGAACTAAACTACGTATTTATACTATCTCCGAAGAATTTCCTTGAGAGTCCGGCCGCCAATCAAATTGTGTATCTTCTCAATTTCGAGCCTAGAAGTCCATTCAACAAATATCGTCTTCTGCCAACCTCCAGCTCATATTGCCCCGCACTTCGGTTCGCAAAGCACCAATCATACACCAACCTCCTCTTCTTTCGAGCCTGCGCGGCCGTTCGCCAACAAACCGCACAATACAACTTAGAACTTTTCAAACTTATCAGTTTTCACACTTGTAAGTTATCGCCCACACTTAGAAGTTCTCGCACTCTTATTAACGCCCACACTTAGAAGTTCTCGCACTCTTATTAACGCCCAGAAACATTACCAAACAGTTCGGTACTTACAACACCAACATTGTTTTAAATCGGAGGTAAACATGGTTGAAATTACAAAAATATATATATATATATATTTTTTAATATCTTGGACATAAATACATATATATTTATTTACATGATACAGTAAATACATATTTAGTTGGGACTGAGTCGGGTGCTCCTAGAAAGATTACGGTTGACCTGTCCTCTCTACTAAGATTGGGACTGGGCTATGGTCTCCTTTATATTGCACCTTGCCTCGTGGGTGAACTCACTGATGACTGAACTGGAAGAAGAAAAGGTGGATTCGAATTGGACTATTTTAAAAAAATACAATTTTTACATTCTCTAGGCGACAAGAGGTCAGAGGATAAATATAAAAAGTCGACTTACTTTTGACGTATGTATGTAGAGTTTTTTTTTATGAACTAAATTGGGTAATTAAAGCTACCCACCACTCACCAGAGCCGCCACTACATAGATCCTACAATATTTTTAGTATGTATATTTATATGAAGTTATTGGAGTGAGGAACTTCACTCTGAGGGACTCCGATAACTCGTCTACAAACTTTTGTTTTGGTCCGTATTTAAAAATAGTAAAAAACACTTGGTGACTGTGAGTCTATATATTCGAAACGGTTTCCGGTTGACCGTTTATAAATAAATAAAAATAAGCGTTTACAGTCTACTTTTATTATATAATAAGCCCCACTAATTTGCTATGGGGTGCAGTTTGTAGGTGCCACAGTTTGCCCTTGCGCCAAATCGCTAAGTTGGCGCCTGAAAGAACTGGGACGGTTGAAAATTGTGTGACAGATTCTAACCAGCCCATTTCGTTTCAAATAAGTCGAAATTCAAAGTGCAATATAATAGAATTTCGATTGTAAATTTGCCCTCAATATATGGTCTTTGGTATGAAAAAGAGAGACAAATCCGATGACGTTTATAAATCATAAAAATATACGTTTACGATCAGGTTTATATGCCAAATACCCTGACCTTATTGACGTTGGGTATTTGGGTTGTATTTGATATTTTATTTTTAAAAAGTTACATAACAACAGTTTAAAACTATTGGCCTTATTTTAAAATGTTTTAAAATACTGTGTACACTTTTGTTTCTATATATAGAAAATGACATCTGTTGATCAACTGATTCCTGATGAGTGATGATGTCACGACAGTCCCTCAAAGACTCTCAGAGTCTCATCAAGTCTCAACACTCTCAAGTCTCAACACATTATTTTGTCAATCATTTATCATACCCCTCAACTGATTCCTGACACCTGAGTCCTGAGCCGTTCACTTTTACAAAAAAAAAAAACTAAAAAACTGCAGAAATTTTTATATTTATGTAGTTCTGAAATCAGAACTTCAGTCCTCAGATGACTTCTGTCCTCTCTCTCAGGACTCAGAGACTCAGACTTTCTCTTCTTGTCTCTCGTCTCGAACTCTTGAGCGACTCTCGACACTCGAGTGACGAGTCTCTGACAAATTTTACATTTTGTTTTGTTTTGTTTTAGTCTTGTTTTTGAACATATTGTATTCATTTTAAAAAACAAATTAAAAAAAACGGAATATCTGTGTTCACGAGTATTTTTAATTGAGAAGGCTATGGTATTCATTGACACATTCTCAGTTTCTCACATTTTTAAACATTTTAGACTTTAAAGTTTTCAAAAAACATATTCAATCAATTTACAGAGTCTATGACTATAACAGTCTATGTCCATACTATGTACTGACAACAATATATTTAAATATATGCGACATAGTTATCCTTGAATTAGAAACAGCCTGGAAGAATATAGCTTACTGTGGGGTTAGAAGTATACGTGACCACCCAATTGCCCAACTTTCAATGTAATATATTTTGAGCACACGAATAAGCACAAGCATCGAATCTTTTCGAGTTTTATAGCAATTCATCACTTCATCACCTGGGCCTGATTTGTCGTCTAAAGTTGAGAAGTGCTGCCTTAAACAATGGAGTGTTATATCATACAAGCGGTATATATTATTTAACAGCGTATTGCACATATCTGAATATCAGCGTAAGTAGAACAGCAGACGTGGATGACACACAATGGAAGACAAGGCATCGGCCCGAGAAGGTGTGCCCGCACAATGTGACGATACACTAAATGGCGCACGGGAACAATATGATCCTAATGTTTCCGAAAAAGTATCAGAGACCACGCCAGAATCCACTCTCACATACGCATCTTCAGTTGCACTTGGCCTAGTCGGTGATGGAGAGGAAGTCATCACAAAATATGACTCGACTGTATTGGGAGTATTGGCCGAGGCGGCTACGGCTCGAAGGGCAAGTGCTGAATTGCAAATTGGGACGAAGATCCCGAATACGATTTCCGAAGGAAGCAAACGCATATCGACTAATGTACATAAGCGATCATCTCGGACCAAAAGTGCTGACACCGAGGCGGAATTTATCAGAGAACATGCACAAAAGCAAAGCAGTGTGCTTTCCCTCACATTTTATAGTTCAACAGGCGGCGCTATTCTGAGCCCGTCGAGTAACGCGGAAGTCAGCCGTCCGAAGAAAAAGCCGTCGGTAGGGCATATCAATGTCGATCCAAATGAGATAGCGGCAATCTCATGTGCTAGTGAGCCATCACCACGTACACCGTGGAGTGGGGAGGATTTTGTGCACTTCAGCAAGTCCATCTATTACAAAGTGATTTTACCTCTATGCGTAGCGTTCTTCATAGGTACAGGGGCCGTGACATGTGCGTCTATTGCAATGCAATGGGACGGTACGGTTATAATTGTATTAGCGCTTGCAACCGTGCAGTTGTTTGCATCTACAGGGGTTCTCTTAGTAGCCTTCTTCTATATCTACAAACATTGGGAAAGTCCATTAATTGCCAGTCGGGGCAAAGTGCATTCTATCCTGTTCTTGATCAGCATGACCCTACACAAGCCAATTCTCTTTGTCCAAACCATGTTCTTCGCAGGCCTTATACAGCAAAAAGAACTACTTTGGATGGCACTTGTCGTATCTGGGCGATTGTGTTCGATGGTCTGGGTGGGTGCTATTGTCGCACGCCAGCGACAAATAGTGCAAGTCTTTCACATTTCCCTCTTCAAACGTGCCCCGGTACACACATATCGGAACACATTTTTAGGCATATGTGCAATGTATTTGATGGCCTTACTCGTGGCTCTTGGTCTTCTTCATATCAATGTGAAACACTGGTCCCTACCGTACCAGGTAGCTGATTTTATTTCGTTTGGAATTCTCGCGCTATTTATATACCAGTCTCGGTATGTGAGTGCGCGCTTCTCCGACTACTACGCCTCTATCCGCTGGGTAGTATTGATGTTTATGAGCTATGTATGTATCATAGCACAGAAAGTGGTGCCTTTTGGCAACGTATATAACATGCAGGGCGAGCTAATCGCGAATTGGACTGGTGTGCTGATTGTAGATTCCATGTTGCTATCAACCACGGTCATCATCCTAGACACCTTCGTTCCGCTGATATACGTTGTCGAAAGTAAGTCGCGTTTGTATGTCCTTTCACTTGGCATGTGTTTAGCAACGCTTTTAACTGTAATTGATGTTATACAATATTACTCGTACAATCATATGCGTTTGCAAATGTATTTACTGGTAAGGCTCGAAGACAAAAATATTTCAATAGCAAAAAGCTAGTTGCAATTCCCAAAAAACTATTGCTAATGTATATATATATATATATATATATATATTGATATACATATATATATATATATATATATATATATATATATATATATATATATATATATATATATATATAATATATATATATATATATATATATATAGTA